TCTGCCTCTGCCCTATAGATATCTCTGTCAACATATACGAAGGCGATAATGGCTTCTCAAGAAGTGCAGCAGATGAACGACGACAAAGTCACACCATACAGACCGGCTGATGAAGAGGTCGTCTCTATGAAAGGCGAGACTCTAGAGTCTCATGAAGTCTTCCAGCAGACAGATGATGGCGTGCAGTTCAGAACTGTCAGCTGGCAGCGAGCCACCATCATCTTCCTCAAGATCCAGTTCGCCATGAGTATTCTGAGCGTGCCGGGGGCTTTTGCGACGCTTGGTGCTGTTGGAGGCGGTCTGTCGCTTGTTGGCTGGCACACTCTGAATACATGTAAGTCATGAACCCAATTGTCAAAGAGAATAAGGAGAGCTAACAGCATTTAGATACGGCTTACATTCTGGGTGAGTTCCGAAACCGTCACCCCGAGTGTCATAGTACGTTTCCACTACCCATTTTAAGCTTATACCTTTAGGCCTAACAATATGGATAGCACTCGCTGATATGTGCGGTCGCCTCTGGGGCCGTGTTGGCAAAGAACTTGTTGGTCTTCAAATTCTGGTCGCCCAAGTCCTCATCTCTGCCGCCGGCATCGTTTCCATCTCAACTGCCTTCAACGCCATCTCCAACCACGGCGCATGCACCGTCATCTTCACCTTGATCGGTGCCATCTCGATTACCTTGTTCTCCTCGGTACGAACCTTCAGCCGCCTCGGCTGGCTTACATGGATCGGTTTCTTCACATTCTTCGTCGCTGTCTTCATCTTCGTTGTTGCAGTTACCCAGCAAGATCGCCCTGCAATGGCTCCTAAGACTGGTGACTACGAGTTGGGTTGGACAGCCATTGCTCACCCTACCTTTGTAGCAGGCATTACTGCCTCTGCCAACATCTTCATCAGCAACAGTGGTTCATCTATGTATCTGCCTGTGCTGTCAGAAATGAGGCGCCCCGAGCACTTCAAGAAGGCCGTGCTGGTTACAGGTGTCCTCGTGATGGCTATGTACCTGTCCTTCTCCCTCGTCATCTACAGATGGTGCGGCGTTTGGCTGGCTACCCCGGCCTTTGGAAGCGCAGGTCCTCTGTTCAAGAAGATCTCGTATGGAATTGCGCTTCCAGGTCTCATCATCGGTGTCGGCATTTACCAGCACGTGGCTGCCAAGTACATTTTCGTCCGAATCCTCCGCGACTCACCTCATCTTCAGGAGAACACGATGGTCCATTGGACTACCTGGATTGGTAGCAATCTTATCCTCGGAATCCTCGCTTTCATCGTTGCCGAGGCTGTCCCCATTCTCAACTACCTCCTGGGTCTTGCTGGAGCAGTCTGTTTCGCTCCCTTCAGCTTGATCTTCCCAGCTCTCCTTTGGATGCAGGATTTCAAGCATTATAGAGCAGGAAACTCGTCTAACCAGGCGAAGTACTGGTCTCATGCCCTCATCGTACTCGTTGGATCCTTCATGGTCATTGCCGGAACGTAAGTCCATAAACGCCCGTCCTTTTAATATTCTGTAGCTAACCCCCTTCAAGTTACAGTGTTGCTGTATCTATCCAGGATGCCTACCGATCCGGTCTGATTGCAAAGGTGTTCAACTGTGCTGATAACTCTGGAACCATCTCTTAAGCTGTAGAATAGCGTTTCATAGGTCGATCAATGGTGGCCGATTCGGGAGGAAAAGGGAGGGGAGACCTAGCCTAGTTGTGAATAGAACAAGCATCCTTGAAGTGGCGTTCCAATACGAAATAGCGTGAGATAAGGGAGGTCGGTATTTATATGATGTATGTATTTGTGACACTACCCGCTCTTCAAAAAGGGGTAGGATATCCGCTTATCAAGTGCGTTATCCGATGCGCGGGCCGCGTGACTCTTTAATATGGAAGTCGGGTAGCGCACTGTCCCAACTACTCGACACGGGTGAATCGATTACTCAGAGATGGTCAGTTTGATCCTAGAGATTCCTACTGTAACGATCTTAGCATGCGATTGAATCCTTATCCGCTTTACTTCGATTGGATGACCTCCTTCTTTTTGCACAGTGAAGTCGTGATAGTACGTGCCTAGACATCATCGAAAAGTAATGCCAAACGAATGTCTATTGGTATCTAAAGCGAACGTAGAATAATTCCAGTCAAAGCCGCATCTGTGTATCCCAAAAGCTAAGCTGTATCCTTCCTTGTGAACACAACTGTCTCGCCACTGTCTCTTCAAGAAAGCCCCTTGACAATGTTAGCATACTGAGAGTTGGGGTAGCTCAAACAGTTGTTAGTACTATCAAGAGTTCCAAGCTTCTTGGAGCTGGTGCCGATCAACGAGTCAGCACCAGTCTTGTCAGCAGACGCCTCCCAGAACATGCTGCCACCAAGACTAAGGTTCTTGATGTAAAGGACCTTGTTCTCGACCATACCGGGGGTGTCGAAAGAGATAAGCTCCTTCGTGTTGGAGTCATAGCTGTAAGAGGCCTGAGCATCGCGATCGTAGACGAGGCTCGCTCCGGCCTTAGGCAGAGCCTTGTAGTCCCAGATACCGTTCTCCCAGCTTCCAGATCCGACGCCAGAGTATGGCTGTCCGAGGCCGGCAGTGTTCTCAAACGCGCGACCGTAGATGGGCATACCGAGAACCATCTTGGCGGACGGGACGCCACCGTTCACGTAAGCCTTGACAGCCTGGTCGGTGTTGAAAGGGGTAGCGTTGGGGATCTTGGTGTTGGCGTATTTGTTAGCTTGGTGGCCAGAGAAGGCGCTCCACGAGCCGGCGTAGTCATAAGCCATGAGATTAACATGGTCGAGAACCGATCCGAGGTCCTTCATCTTGAGCTTGTTGTAGTTGTCAGGACCTGCTGGGGCAGCGATCGAAAGCTGGAAGTGGTATCCGTTGGCATATTGCTTGGAATAAGAGTCGAGCTCGCTGCGCACGGCCTGGAGCAGAAGAATCATGTTGCTAGCGTCCGTGGCGTTGGCGGGATATTCCCAGTCGATATCGATACCATCGAAGCCCCAGTCCTTCATGAGAGTAACGGAACTCTTGGCGAAGGTGGAACGGGTAGCAGCTGAGGCAGAGGCAGCAGGGAAGTTGGTTGACCAGGTCCAGCCGCCGATGGAAAGCATGATTTTGAGCTTTCGATTCGCCTTCTTGAGGAGGAAGAGCTGCTTGACACACCCGTAGGCGTTGTTACCGGGCTCCTCCCAGGCTATGTAGCGTCAGTTTAATTCTGCACATCGATGGCTAGATGGACCTACAGTCGCCGGTGTAGTGCTTCTCAAGATCGGCATAGGAATCTCCAGTGTAGCTATATGTCGTGAGCATTGAGTCAAGACGTCTCTTCAGTAGGAATACTTACACAGTTCCGTCAGCTCTCACGTTCATGAAAGCATAAAGCACGTGAGTCAGTTGCGATGCGGGAAGGTTCTGGGGTTGATAGTTACGCCCATAAATACCCCTGCATGTGATGAGTAAATGAACAAAGAGCACGTGAGAAGGAAGACGAACCAGTTGACGAAGTAAACGGCGTTGACGCTGCCGGTCGCCTCCTCAGAGATATCATCGTTATTGGCTGGAACGACAAGGGCGGGAATGCCAGAAGTCATATCATCGAGTGCGACCATTGTGAATGTTAAGTTGCGCTAGTGGAAGTATTTATAAATGTTGTAAGATTGTGATTTAATGTTGTAATTGTGATCGATTCGTTCTGACCAGCTACCGGTTCTCAAGAGCATTATATACGTCCGACATAATTCTTGAAACATGTCAAATGCGATATCTGTAGATAACAGAGGACCCGTCATTCTCTAAAGTCATCAACTCGTCTCAGCAGGGTGTTGAAAGACATGTTGAGTTGCAGCGTTGGAAGAAGGAACATGTGCAGAACACTCAAGTGACTTTTCCAAGGCTGTAATGACTTGAAATCCAGTGGAAAGGCGATTATAGCCGTGGCTAATGGACAGACTGCGGCCAGACATGGCCGGTTGCAACGTTGCAGATCTGTTTCAGCACTACGACGATCATAGCAACCGTCAACAGCACATGGCGAAAGCTGTTCCCGGGAATGATAGAACCGAATATTTGGAAATGAATTACTCATGAATTGGAGTCGGGTGATACTATCGCTTGCGATTCACCGTCATATCGATTTGACAGTAGGGCTGGTAGACAGGCTGTCTCCGATAAGGTTGGGGACAGCAGAAGGATCATCGAGATAAGGTAAGTGGTCGCACGTCACTTGATTTACGTCTGGTAGTGACGATGTAACCCAAAACGGAATTTATTCTGTAATCTGGTGTCTTTTATCAGAGTTGCAAACTAAGGTAGTATTCGCAAGAGCGTGATGCGGGCACCAGGCTAGTGAGCTGGCATGGCGAGTGACATCTTGTTGAAGTGAGCGATTAGGCCAAAGCTTCAAGAATCTTCTTCCTTCGGTCCCAAACTCCCGAGAATGAAGTAGGTAGACTATCCTATGGTAGAAGTAACGTAGCGCCTTGAAGGCATTTGGATGCCAAGTGAAATGCATCTCCGGCATTTGGAAGAAGCCATCATCTTGGCAAGCCCGGTCGGAGATTTCCAAGCGCCCAAAAAGCTCTCATGATCACTTCATCACTCCGAAAATCCCAATACTACATCAATGTCTGATCTCAAGCTACCATGGCGTCTGCATTAGGAAGGTCGTTAGCCAATGAAACATTGATGTTCACGCAAGACACTTGACCAGGTGGTGCATGTCTCACTGCCGAGTCGGGGCTAACTGATAAAGGATATGCCTTCAGTGGTCAGATATCAACACCAGCAAATCATGTTGCGACGATCGCCAGTCAGCAAAGGATTCGGGCCGGGCCATTACTCGATGTTGATGGAAAGCCCGGGGCACGAGGAGACATGGTCATTCGTCTTTCAGAGGAAGATAAGAATCCTGATTCCATGTTTTCGATCGGATACTCAAACTTTCGGTTCTCGCATCGCGCTCAATGTGTTGTCATTTCTCATATTTCTACTAATTCGCCAGATAAATCTTATGCAAACGATGGTATAGTGCTATTTGAGCTCATCCCAATACTGAGAAGATCCATATAATTCACCAACACCTCATCATCAGCATGAAGATCCTGCTGCACCCAAATAGCCTGAATAGCATTGGTCACAGCCTTCATACTTCTTATCCGTGCATCCCGTTGTGTTCTGTCAATCAAGTTAAGAACCGCCACCCGCTGATCGTCTCTCCTTGATTCACATGCGAGAATCAGCAGAGGAAAGAAGTGGATGCAGGTACACGATGCCACTGGTCCGTCAAACAGTGTATCTATGAGCGAGTCTAGAAGAGCGGGCGCTTCCCATGAACTCTGTGAAGCGCGTGCTATGTATATGCGTGTCGCTACGCGATATAGTTCTAAGGCAACTGCGCTTTCGGGATTTAGATCATTTGGGATCGGGCTGGCGATGAGATCGTCGACCTGCGCCTCGAGCCGTTGGAGTGAGTTGCGATATTCTGGGCTGTGGCTTTTGGGATCTTTTGGATCCACTAAAATATCGCATGCCTCAAAAAGGAGGCCCATTATAGAAGCCGCTGGATCTATAGAAGGGTGATTCTGAGAGTTCGGTTAGCTGGTAGACTCAAAATCGGGTATTGTAGGCAGCATACAGGTTTGTATATCGATAATTGGGATGTGGCTACGAGACCGGAGCGTTGGATTGGTTTGATGAACGTCTTTTGAGCCAGTGCTTTGTGTCGCCAGTGTTGCGTGCTAAAACGTGAGAGCGTATGATGATAGTTGACCCAGTCAATGAGAGCGTAGGTTTCACCCTCAGAGGAATGATCGTGGAGTTGAGTAGCTTGAATGACATCCACAGCGCCCCAAATATGCCACAGCCATTCGCCTGAGCTCTCAGAAGGGCGTAGAGTCTTAAATATCAGCAGGGTCCCAATAGTCTCTAGGATCACATACCTCGAATGACCCAAGCAGCATGGAAGCAGCCACGTGCTGGGAAGCATTCACCAAGGACAGTTCTTCATCTTCGGCGGAGTTGGATAGTAAATGGAGTGCCTGAACTTTGAACTTCAGAGCTGTTTCGCTCATGCCATGCTGATGGAGGGAAGAATAGGCTAGCATAGCATGCAGAAGGGCCGAGGATGAGGCACTGTTGTTGGTCATGGCTATTCTCATAAGCGCGTCACGAATGCCAGCCGGTGTCGTGTTGAATGTGACCAAAGATAAGTGCGCTAGGTCATGAACTAACACAAGTCAGAAGATATGGACATTGTCAAGGTGCTCTAGCCCTCACAGTATTGTAACAATTCATTCTGATTGGCATGTTTCGCGGGCTGTTTTAGTGACTTCGAGGGCTGGATGTGTACCCGAGCCTGCCCATACCGTGAGGATAGGTAGTTATGTAGTTCGACATCGCGAAACGATGTATTGATCAAGAACAGGCGACTAGGGACCTCGCTTTTCTTTTTGGAAGATACGGGCGCTTGCGTTGCTTCGGTGCATACTACTGCCCGCTTCTTGTCATTGTTTCGGGGCCACGATAAACGAGCTTCATAGCCTTGACAGGCCAATTGAGACCGCTTACATTTGTCGCACTTCGGTCGGACTCCGTCGCATTGAATCTTGCGAGCTGATGCTGATGCTTAGTGATGACCAATTCGCTCTCCTCATTGCCGACACTAACCTGCGCAAGTCCAACAGCTTTTTCGGGGTTTCATCTCGACAAATCAGCCCGAAAGACCGATGATTTCGGTTTTGGTAGCAAATATCGTACGGTAGATGGAAGCAGTAAGATCTTAATCTCTCGGTCAAAGTTGCTGGTGATGGGGTCTCTTAGATGATAAGCAGACCGGGAATTTGTCATCAGCACTAAGTTTAGAAGCACCAATGATCAGCTGAGGTGACATTCCCCTGTCATCATGTCCCCCACAGGAAGCAACTTTTATCGAAGCTAAGATCGGATTCTTGCCTAGCTAAGCCTCAAAGACGACCGGACTTTGAACTACTTGCGAAGAGTCCGACTCTAAAGAACTGCCGGATCATGTGTTCGTCACCTCAGAGCATATTAGAAATCATCGGGGAATGGGAAGATTGTTTGAGAATGACCGGGACCCGCAGAGAATAAACATGCCGTATATATATATGCCACTGAGGAATGACTAGAGAGCAGCGACTTACCCATCCGGATTCATCCAGCGCTGCCTCCAATCATCACTTTCAATACCACATTTCCTCTACAGCCAATACCGTCATGTCTGTCTATCTCGTCACCCAGGCCACTGGTCAGCAAAGCCAATGGGTCATCAAGCACCTACTCAAAGCTGGCCACAAGGTCCACGCTGTTGTCCGCAACATCGAAAAGATACCAGCCCTGCTAAGCGGCCCGAACATCACTCTCTTCCAGGGAGAAAGCAAGAACCCCGAAGATATCTTCGAAGCTGCTCAGGGCTGTCAAGCAGCTTTTCTCAACACCGTTTCCTTCCCTGGCTTGGAAACCCTTCAAGCCAAAACAATTGTCGAAGCTTGCGAGAAAGCCGGCGTCAAGAACCTCGTTGCTTCTACCGCCATTTGTACCGACCAAAAGGAAAAATGGGATATCGAAGATGTCAAAGCTATTCCCAATCTCCATGAATACTATACTTCTAAGTACGAGGTCGAGAATGTTGTTCGCACTGGAAAGTTGGAATCATACACTATTATCCGGCCAGCACTTATCCACTACGACTTCTTAATCCCAGGAGTCTATTATAATTTTCCCCGTCTCCCAACAGATGGCGAAATTGATGATCTTCTCACTGAGGGTGCTAAATTCCCTTACACTGATGCTCACGACGTGGGGAAGTACGCTGCTGCAGCCCTTCAGGATCCTACCAGATTCCAAGGTCAAGAAATTGACCTTGGAAACGAACTCTTCGACTTTGAACAAATCCGTGATATCCTGGTCAAGGTCAGCGGTAGGGAAGTCGGAATTGTGAAGCGCACTGCTGAAGAAGTGGAGAAGTTGGGTATTGGTGTTCATGGTCACATGTTTCAGCATTTTGCCAACATGAAGCCTTTTGGCTTTGTCGAGGGAGGAGCCAACGAGGTTCAGCACAAGTTTGGTATTCATTTTACTTCACTTGCAGACGCGTTGCGAAGAGACAAGGGTAGACTCATGGAGTGTATTCCAGCCAAGAAGGAGGTTTAACGAGGGGCTATGATGAGTTACGTCTTAGGGTTAGCTAAGTAGCCTTCAAGATAAGCTGGCCTTTCAAACCTGGAGTTTCCTAAATAGAAGCCCCTGTACTGGAAGAAAGGCATCGCATTGTCCCGAAAGATAGAGCCCCATTGAAAGCGTCTCACAAAACATAATCTCAAAGATCCTGGGTCAAGAGCGAACTCAAGGGCTCGGAGCATTGGCAGACCTTTGCATGCTCACTGCGCTCAGCATTCTGGCAAGCTAGTAACACACCCGTTCGAGCACCCTCGCCAGTCCATAAAGGATATCGATGCGTGTCCACCCATTTCAAGCTTGGCCCTCTTAGGTGACGCTTTCCCCATCCCATTTTCTCGGCCTGAAACTGCTCCACGACGTATAGATGCTTAATAATATCAGGGTCGTTTGCTGATTCAACTGGATCTGGCTTGGGGCCGGAAATACGGTCTTCCCGCTCTTGCAGCCTCATCATTAGTTGGGCTACTACGCCAAGTGTTGTTCGTACTGCTCGTGACGTTTCAAAGACTGACAGGCTCAGAGACATGCTTGAGCAAGTCGAATTCGGCGTTGATGTCTGAATGCAATCCATCCGTGTTCCCAGTGAGACCAAGAACCACTGGCAGTTGAGAAATATCTGAGATTACTCCACAACTGTGGTAGTCGCTTTGCCGTATGACGACATACGAAGCTCGAAATAATGGGCGGATCGAATAGTGCTTGCGTCCTGGGATGTCAGCACCAAGCAAGACGCGATCGGCCCTTGCGCAGATTGCCCGGTGCAGTATAAATCCCAAGCGAGCTGCCGAAGAATCATCAGGTGGCGTAGCATAGTCCAACCGAAGTATCTTGACCAAAAACTGATCATACTCGATATCAGTACGATAAGGCTTGAAATAGAGTCGATGAATGTAATTGAGCACAGCGATGTGAATTAGAGGCGCTAAGGTTCTGTTATTGAAGCTGAGTCGATCCGCCAATAAATAGATTGGAAAGGCCTTGTTGCAGCAGCTCAAAGCGAAATGTTGTTTGATGTGGTCTAAATCTCGTGTAGTATGCAATCCGTTAAATTGAGTATGCCGGATCCGATGCATGTATTTAGCTTCGAGGCGGCCGCGGATATAATGAAGAATCTCGTGTCGCTGTAGTTCGACATCACCCCGGAAGACAGCACCGACTCCGTAACGGGCTTCGTAGGGCGTGAGAGTACTCTTGTCATCCTTTATCATAGGAAATTCCGCTGAAGGCCCATCATGCGTAAGAACTCCCAAGTCTTCCATGCCTTTGTTAGAGTAGTGATGAGTGCTGTAGAGAGGGCCCGGAAGAGACAGTCCAAGGTATCAGGAGGAAACTGGATAATGAGAGTGGTTTTGTATTGAAGGATTGCTGGACGTGTCATTAATTGAGCTCTCCAAAGCTTTTACCTATTTGCGCCGACAGACTACAGACTCATAAACTCTAACGTTACCTATCGTACCTTGGTGGCGCCAGAAGGCGTTTCTCGGTAACTCCTTTTCATCCTTATCACTGCGGTCAAATGTGGCTCTCTTGTCGTCAGATCCACAACAGGCCGCTCTCTGCAGCGGAGCGGACTTTCACAATCATGATCCAGGATAGTCCGCAAATGAACAGTCAATTATAAAATGGACGTCGCTCGGTCTTGGATCTGTTAAGCTGACACATCTCCTCGCCTGCAGCAAACATCCCCAAAAGCCTCTTCCATCATGTCAAACAACGCCGGAACCCCCGCTTTCGTATACACGCCCGCGCCACTGACGGATAAAGTACATACAGCTGTGTACGATGCTATAGATCCTTCAAAGCCTTCGCTTTCCCAAGCCGGGAGGACAGTTCTCATCACCGGCGGATCTGCTGGTATTGGCTATGCCATTGCCGAGCACTTTGCTTTGGCTGGTGCGGATAAGGTCATCATCACTGGTAGAGCTAGCCCAAAGCTGGACGACGCAATAGCAAGACTGACTCGTGATCACGGCGATCGCGACACCAAGTTTGAGGGGGCAGTCTGTCAGATGTTTGATTCCAGCAGCATCGATCAGATGTTTGACTCTTTCGGCGCAAATGGTGTTCATGTGGATGTATTGGTCCTCAACGCTGCTCACATTGTTGAAGGGCCCTTGTCGGATCAAGGCTGGGAAAAGACGTGGGAGCAGTTCGAGGTCAACACTCGCGCGCTACATCAACTATACGATCGCCTGCATAAGCAAGAACAGGCGAAAGGAAAGGTATGAGGCCAGTTCTTCCCTCTCACTCCATTTCTC